GGAAAGAGAAGAGCACCAGCACTGTAAGCTTTTTATTCCAGTGGAGCTGGGACTGATTTGCCCACACTGGGGAGCTGAGCATGTGATCACCAAAGAAGTCATAGATTGATGTACATTCTTTATATATGTGCTCAGAAGAAACTTAATCCAATTTATTCTTTGGTTTTAGTATACAAACCCACAAGTGACCTGTCACCCTTTGAAGAGTGCATGGACCCAAGTCCTACTGTCAAATCCTCTCTTCTCAAAATGTTGCTCCAATGCAGGTTGGATTCCCTGTTCACTCATAACCCTCTCCTCATACATCCCACTCCCAGACCAACCCAGGGTACAGGGTATGTGATATTCCATATCCCTTTACTCCTAGATTCGATGATGTTAAGACTCACCTTCAGGAATACATCTCCTTGATGGAGGGAGTAATAACCTCAAACCAAAGCATCCGGGATGACTTCTACTTCATGGTGGTATGCTGTTTTGAGGTGAGTTCTATGTCTCACCCACAAAACTTATTAAAAAAAGATATTAAGGGCGTATCCAGATGAGCCCACATATGCCTCTTGTGGCACCTCAAAACAGTTTGAGATGCCACAGGAGGCACGAGGGAACAAAAATAACATTCCCTGCATGGCATATTTGCAGCACGGGCTCAAAATTTGATACCTGGAAATCCACAGAAAAAACTGTAGGGCAGGGCATGGTCCAAGACCATGCCCCAAGACAACTGGGAAGCTGATCCAAAATAGACACATTCTGGTTTCTGGCCAGAGTGTCTCTACTGTCTTTCTGCTGCCCCACCATGTGGGGCATGCTCCCTTAGCATGCTGGGCTAAGAAGAAGCAAGGCAAGGCTGTGGTACAACAGAACCCAGGCATTGTGCCTGGTAAGTTAGGGATGGGGGTGTGGGTGTGGGGGGATGTGAGGAGTGGCACAGGGATGTGAAAGGGATGTGGGGAGTGGTGGGAGTGTGGGGGATGTGGGGTTTGTGGCTGGGGTCCACCACATGCTGCCCACCCCCTGCAGCCCTGGCTGTAGCAGCTAACTGGCACATGGCCTGGTTGCAGGCACAGCCAGCAGTGACATGTGTCCCAGTGGGGGCAGGGGTTCTGATTGGAGGTGTGGGTCCTCCTCAGGGCCCACAGCTCCCCCCTGAAGGGTCCAGAGCTCACCCCCCCAGAAGCAGCAGAAGCAGCCATCAGTGCTCAGGCCCACTACTGGCAAAGCCCCCGGCAGTGTGGCATGGTGTGACATGATGCTGGCCACCTCATACCCAGCACCACCCATCCGGCTTGTTGCAGGGCTGACCCAGCTCAGTGTGGTGCCGTGCACCTTCAGACAGCACTGAGCCACTTGATCTGTCACCCAGGGCCCAGTGCTGCTTGCAGGGACTGTGCATTGCACCAGGCCAGATCCTGCTTCCATGGAACCAGCTTGGCCCAATGACGTGCAGGGCCCCTGGAGCCAGGACCCAGCCTGGTGCCACACACAGTCCCCACAATCAGCTCCAGGCCCCAGGTGACACTGGGTGTTCCTGGGTTTGTGCTGCATGGGTTGATGCTGCATGAAGGTCCACAGTGCCATGCCAAGCCTGGCTGGCCCCGTGACATGTGGTACAGGTGGCACTGGGTCTGAGGCAGCCAGAACCTCACTGTGCCAAAGAGGGCTTTGCCAGCAGCCTGCCCTGAACACAGACACCTGCTGCTTCTGCAGGGGGGGTGGGGTGGAGCTGTGGGCCCTGTGAGGGGTGGCTGTGGGCTGTGGAGGGGGGGATGTGGGCCCTGCAGGAGAGCAAGTCCATGTGCTGTGGAGGGGAGGGGCTGTGCCATGTAGGGGGAAAGGGGACCCACACCTCCTTAGCTTCCCCCCCACATAGTCTCCCCACACCCACAGTCCCCACACAATCCATCCACACCTACCCACACACCCTACACTCCCCTGCATCCCCCCACAGCCACCCACACACTCACCCATATCCCCACACACCACTTGCCACCCCACTCCTGCAAACCCCACATCCCCCCATCACACACCCAGTGTGCCCAGCTGGCAGACAGGATGAGACCCACTAGCAGGAGCTGTGGCTGTGCCTACATCCTAGTTAGTGAAGGGGTCACAGGGAGCTCTAGTTGTTCTATGATAAGAAAAACAAAAGCAAACATCAAAACTTAAAGGTATTTAGAATGTATTTTATTATGATGATAGATACACTGGTAGACTTCCAAACAGAATAGGAGTGACATGGGGGGTGGGGTCAAAGGTTCAAAATGTGAAAATAAGTCCTCTGGAGGGGGACACTGAGCAGAACCCTCCAGGCCACACCCACCAGTCCTCAAAGGCATTGAAGGAGCCACTGGACACCACCCAGTGATGCTCTGCCCACAAATGTGCATGGATAAGTGACAGGAAATTGGCCCCACAGTCTTCCTGGCAAGAGCCTCCTTCCTAGCCATATACAGAGCCCACTTGGCCAGGGCCAGGAGGAGGTTGAGCAGGAGGTCCTGGGACTTGGTGGGGCTGTGGATGGGGTGCCAAAAATAAAAAGGTAGGGAGGAAGTTCAACCAGAACCTCAGAAGGAGGTTCTGGAGGGGGAGGGGGAGGGGCTGCAGCCTGGTACACTCAAGGGTCATGTGCTCCAAGGTCTCCCTCTGCTCGCAGAAGGGGCAGAAGACCTAGAAGCTCCTGAAGGCAAGTAGCCCTGAGCTGCTTGTCAGGGAAGGTTTTAATACTGCAGATCCGGGAGGAGCTGGGCAGGGTCATTTTGTCCCAAGTAGCACAACTTTCTCCCCACCAAAGTGCATGTCCGGGGATGTGAGCTGAGGCAAAAATCCCCTGCACAAATTCGTACCACTCTTATTTGAAATGCTGCAAGTGCACATGCCTGCATGTGTGGATGTAAAATGTCTGATTAAAGAATGTCTGTACAACCAGAACACGACCTCTTTGATACATCCTTTAAATATAAGACTACACATTGGGGGGTTTTACTTGCTTGTTTGTTTTTGGAGGGTTTTATTTTATTTTATTTTATTTTATTTTTTTATGGACTCTCTGCTTCCGTAGTGAACAGGCAGTTTTTCTGAACATTGTACTGAATTCAAACGTACACATTTCCTCAAGGCTACATCTTTGGTGCTTTCACCACAGTGCTTGTGCACTAAACAATCAGTGAATTAATCTTCATGACATGCTGTTGTTATCTCCATGTTATACCTGTGAAATAGAGGCACTGTGGCATTTAGGTCAGATTATAAAATTTCTCACAAATGTTTAGTGCCCAAGTTGAGGAACCCAGTGCTGGTTTTTCAGCATGCTTTACATTTTTATAGCAGTGTCTGTGGTTCAGACAAGAGCTTGTCTCTTGTGGTTGGATATCTGCAAGTCAGAGCCAATCCTATTTCACTGATTAGATGTCTTGATAGACTTAAGCACAAAGAGGAAGTCCTACTCCATCCTTCTCAAGTCCCAGAATAAATACCCACATATGTCACTTCTGTTTGTGTGAACTTAGTCTTGAGAGTGTTTAACAAAATGTAGTGCAATAATGGACTCTCAGGGCACATCCCAATGAGTATGCAGGGTCCCGTGTTTCCCATGGGACGAATAGCACCAGCATATCTGTGCCGCTGCTATTTGTCCTTGGGTGCACTCCTGGATGTGAACTCTGGTGCATGGCAAATTGTCCTGGGTGGGGTAGGGGAGGATTGGCCCAGCACCTGGGCTGGTCCCAGTAGCCTTACCTGGGGCCCTGGGGCCACAAGGGGCATCAGCAGTGTGGAGATGGCTGCTCAGACCCTGGCTGGCAGCCAGTGTGTGGCTCTGTCCAGGCTCTGTCTTTCTGGGTGCACGTTGCTGCCACATGCACTGTACTGCTCTTTCAGCAGTGGTTTTGGGTTTTTTTCTTTATACTGGGATCTCCCAGTGTCAAAAAAGCCTGCTGCGGTGCAAATTAGCACTGTGGTGAATGGGTGCACATGCACTGCATGTAGTTTGAGGTGCCTCAAATGGGTTTGAGGCACCTCAAACTGCATGTGAGTGCTCATTGGGAGGTGCCCCAGAGGCTTGAACAAAGTGGAATAGGATTTCACTAAGGTACCGACATCCACTTAGATGCCTAATAAATGGAACAGAATCTGGATCTAGGTGCAACCCCCGGGCACCTAAAAAGTCTCTCAAGGGATGAGAAGTGGGGCTTGGGATGGGAGCAGATGTGGAAAGGGGAAAGATGCAGGAGTTTTTGCATGTGGGCCATTACTATTAATTCATAACTTTGCTTAAAAATAACAAGTTTCTGGTGTTTTTTGTTGGGTTTTTTTTTGGCTTCACATTATTGACTATGTCATGCAAGTGGGGAAAGGAAAAAATTCTAGGTTTCAACAACTGAGATGGGTGTATCTACATGCGCAGTTAATGTGCATGAATCAACTCTGGAGTTAATTGCTCTGGAATGTATTGTATCTGGGCGCTATGTCTGCTTTGATGACAGCACTATTCCTGCCCAGAGAAGGGGGGTTGAACTTGATGATCTTTCAAGGCCCCTTCAGCCTTTAATCTCTATTATTCTGTTTCACATGCACTTGGGCCCACGGCAGAGCAGCCCCAGCTGGCAGGGGGTCTCAGGGGTCAGCCTACCAGCCCAGGACTGCTCCCCTTGGCTCTGTGTGCTGCTAGAGCCCCCACACTGAAGAACCCTCTTGCTCCAGTCAGCTGGGGCAGCATCTACATGTTCACTGCTACACAGTAAAAAACGCCACAGCAGGATAGTCCTTGTACATATGAGTACTATTCTGCTGCAGTTAATTAATTTAATCCAGCCTAATATGGGCACCCATGTAGACACACAACATTTACTGTGCATCTAATTAGTCTACTGAGCAGTAAATGTCTCGTGTAAATGCACCCATTGTCACACTGTCTATGCCTGTTTCTTGTAAACTAACAAAGTAGATATGTATAGCACAAGTTTGTGGGCTGAAATACACTTCAGATGCTGATGGAGATGCAGATGATACCTATTATGGCTAACTTTCTCTACACCTGTTTCCACAGAAATGTTGTCTGGTCACAGTACAGTTTTTGAAAATGTTCTCTCCTCACTGAACAGGATTTTATGTACTCCTCCTTCCAAGAAGATGCCAGCCAAGAGGCTGAGCAGTCCATCACCAGTGCAGACCTGACCACTCCCAGCTGTACTGAAGCTACAGAAGTTGATACCCTGCAGTTGATCGCAAGGCTCCGACTGGCCATCAGTCATGTTGCAACTGTGCTTGGTACAGAGCTTCTGAATGGTGAGTGGAGCTGCTCCCTGTTTTTAAAGCATGAGTGGGTGCATCTACATGCTCATTAATGCACTATAGTCACTGAGCATTAAGTTTAGTTCTTGGCTAACCTAGTACTAAATCAGTGCGCAGTAACTGTCACGTGACTTTTTAATAGAGGTGCACTGATACATCAGTCCATATTGTATGGATGGCTACAGGGTGGGCTACAGCCACTCCAACATTCACCATAGCCTCCTGAGTTTGTTGAAATCTACCCTTCTGAAATCTTGGATTTATGTTCTATTAATTGGGATCCTAGCCTTCGAGGAGATGGTGAACCTAATCAGATTATGATCACTGTCTCCCAGAGTACCTCCAAACTTCAGGTCCCCTAACATGTCCTCCCCTTTGGTAAGCACTAAGTCCAGAGTAGTTATACTGCTAGTCGGTCCTTCAACAACCTGTGACAGGAGCAGGTCATCAGTAGCTGCCAAAAAATTAGCTGACTTGGTGGAGCCGGCTGAATGGTCCTCCCAACAGATGTCAGGGTAGTTGAAGTCACCCATGACAATCAGGTCTTTAGTTCTGGCTGCCTCAGCCCTTGCATCTTGACCCAGAAGGTCTCGAGAGATCTCTCCCTGCTATGAAACCTGACCTCTTTCACATACAGCGCCACCTCTCCTCCTTTCTTCCCAACTCTATCCTTCCCGTAGAGCCTATAGCCCTCAATATCCACTGCCCAATTATACATCTCATCCAATCAGGTCTCTGTCATCTCAATGAGATCAAAATCTTCATTTGCCAGGAGGAGAGCCAGTTCCTCCTGTTTGTTGCCCATGCCTCTTCCATTTCCATAAAGGGTAGTTGAAGTCACCCATAACAATCAGGTCTTGAGTTCTGATTACCTAAGCCCTTGCATTTTGACCCAGAGGGTCTCGAGCCAGAGCAGAGCAGGGAGCAAACACCAGCACACGTTGTTCACAACAGCTTTATTCAAAATGGAGACAGCTTCGGAGAAGGGGCCTCACACCATAAGAGACGAGGTCCTGCACTGAACAATAGGTTTATCCTACATTTATATACTTTGGTTTATACTCATTAACATTAACTCCTCCTTTGTCCCACCTTCTGTTTCACCCATTTCTCCTCCCATCTCAAGGTCCGCCTTTGTTTACTGTTTGCTTCATTAGCGTGGAATCACCTATGCATTTCATTCATTTACATGACTTCTTGCTATGAGCACATGTCTAAGACCTTGACTTCTTTTCTTTGGTCAATTGGCGGACTTTGGCCAAAACCTGGAAGCTTCTGGAGGCTTTTTTACCAATCACCCGTCACCTTTTTGCATATGTTCATCTCGGATTCTGTTACCAATTACGTGTTGTTTTTCACATTCCAGTCTGGTTTTCTGCCTCATGTTGTACCATCTTCCACCTTTTTTGGGCCCCTGTATCTTATATCATTCCTCGCTGTAGCTGGTTCACAGCACACAGACTCACACAGATTCACTTGCTGCTTTTCTCTCAGAAAATACTTTCTGGTCCATGATGCATCCTGCCACCCCTGGGCTTGCAGCGGGGCTAGGGTGGCTCAGTGGCCAGACTCCATTTCCCAAAAGCCATGGTGGTGATGTGTTCTTCTGGATACCACTGTCACCAGCCGTAGCCCCATTGAGCTAGGCAAGGATCCACATGGGCAGGGCCCAAGACCTGGGATGAGCGCACACACAGCCTTGGCCCCAGCCATGACCCACCTGACATTGGGGGTTGGGGTCTCTGCAGTGCCCACTCTGGACCGGCCTGCTCTGGCCATGATGATCCAGGGGAGTTGGGGTGCTGCCCTGGCCCACGACATTTCCCCCAAAACTCCCTATTTGGCTTACAGGCCCAAATAATTGCCCACCCCTGGTTTAGAATGTCTAAATGCTAAGAAGTGGTGTGGCTTTGGCTTGAGGCTAAAACTTAAATCTGTTTGGCACCTGCAGTTCCAACTACTGGGGTGAACCATGAAGTTACAGAGAAACAACATGCCCTTGTGAATTCCATGAAAATATTGGTGGAAAATGCCCAAACACCATGGCCCCAAATATTTCTAATGAGGGCCCTTCTTAACATCCATGGGCTAAAAATCATGAAGAAGGTCCTTGAAAAAGAGCAATGGATTTTGCCAAGAGGATGTGAAACTTCAAAGGTAAATCTCTGTTCAGATGTTGTGAGATTTTTGTACTGACAGAAACTAACTGAGGATTTGGATAATCTTTCTCTGGGATGCTTAATTCATACTTTTGGTGGCAACTTTGTAGCCTTTGGAAACCAAGGACGTTATCGAAATTCCTGATTTTTTTAATGTTACTATGTGATTTTTGGGTTTATTTTTTAAATGATTTTGGTGTTTAGCTACTAGTTCATTGCAGAAAAGACCTTCACTCTGGAGCCAAACCCTATTTCCTTTCATGTATTTCAGTGCCACTTACACCCCTGCCAAGAAGAAAACAGAAACTATTCTGCTTCAGTGTATCCATTGCACATTAAATGTCAGGTGTAGGGA